GTAAAAGGACTTGGAAAAATAGACGAAGGTGAGCAACGCGTGAGTCATTGAAATAAGGCAGAGTCACCGCGGTGGGGAAGGTACAGCGACAGGGGCAGCGCTCGCTCCAGAAAATTCATCACGGTTCCGAAACACTTGGAAGCGCTCTAGAGAAAAGGGCAAACTTCCGTGAAGAAGATCTTATGTACGCTGGATGTCTGCCAGGACCCACCTACAGCAGGCGGAGCGTGCCCTTAGCAATTGGTTACCATTCCTCAAATTTATGGTTTTGGGCGGATTCGCTGTTCAAACGAGCGAGGCATCCTCACAGTGAGTTGACTCCACAGTTGACTCCACAGTGGAAATTCTCACTGTTATCAAAGATCGTCCCAATAACATACAACCACTAACTAATGCAGATGTATACCGTCCTCTCCAACAGATTTTCAAAGCCTTAAGCGAAATTGTCCTTACCGAAATTTCGCAACCATAGGGGAACTCTGTCGCGATACCCACTTCACACAAGGAGGATTGCCCGGCGAATCGGGACGATCCGACTGGTGTGATCCACAAAATGTGGTAGTATAACTCCAGTATGGCTCCATTAACCGCAAATTGACATGCATCATTTATTTTTCGACTTCTAGGTCAAATCGTTGCATACGTCATCTTTTGCATATCATCACCAAGAAACGACATGGTACCAGCCTACATCGTACAGGTATTTGGTTTAGCATCCAGTAAGAATGGCTAGTCGGTGTAGTATAAGGATGCCCTATACGCTTACCAACTTTTTCCTCAGAAATTGCAACTTTCGGCGCATCCTGGGAAGTGCACTCGATGGCACTGCGATCAGATACTGAGTCATTGCCAGTATACACTTTAAAAGGTGCTGCCCACGTACGGAGGCTAAATATTCAGAAAATTGATCCTACAAAGTATCTGATTCCCATCGAAGTGCCACAGTCCGGAATGCGTATTCGCAGACATTTAGACCAGAGGACAAGCGGCTCGTACCTTCAACTGTTTGGTCAATTCAATACATGCATACACGTTGCTTCCATGACAATAGATCCCAGCACAACCGAGGTTCTGCGGAACGCATTCTGCGCCGCTGGAAAGGAAGTTTAAGCGTTTTTTTTTTGGGATCATGAAGGCACTATTGTAATCTCGATCACCACGGCGCAAATTAGGGGAGATGATGCCCCATCTCCCATCAATCGGCATACCCTAGAAGCACTGAAATCTTCCCTCCATCCTAATATAGTATGGCAAAACAAGCATCGGTATGGCAAGCAGGATACAGCATCGTTGTGTGAAACACATGAGGAGGGTCGTACGTGGCCGCTGGGGAGGGGACCGTATTTGGTTGTTGTTGGGAAGGGGGGAGGGAGTCGTATGTGCCGTCGAGAGAAATTTGCCGCGTTGAGAAAAAATTGTTCCCGGTTGTTGACTTTTAGCGGTTCTTTCCCGTTTCACAAGTGCTATTATTCCTCCGTCCTATCTTCCCGATTGACGGAAAATTTGGGTTGAAAAACAGGTAGGAAGCTGGGGACTTGTAGGGAAGTGATAGGTAGGTGCTGAGGAAGGGGTGCGGTGGGTGGGTCGTATTGAGACTCTCCCTCGAGGGGTGGAGGGTCGTACTGACACCACCATTTCGCACATCACGATGCTGTACCCTGATGGCAAGGCCACACAAAGTGAAGTCTAGGTCCCTGCACAGATTAGGAATTGATGCGTTACCTAACTTACACTCCTAAACCTCAATCAACATCATTTAGAAGAGAAACGGTAGTAGGAGGGATCGCAATAGCGCCCTCCTCAGAAAACACAGAATTGGTTCCGAGGAATGCAAGGAGGAACCCAAAGTTTGTTTCTACAGTGTGGATGGGGTCTAGCTTGTTGTGGTAAGGCTAGGACTCCACGGATGTGGTCCTTTTGCACCACACCCCTGGAGTCCTAGTCTAAAATCTGAAGCCATCGATTTACCTGTATTAGTTGACGGCTTTTGGTTCCGCGTGGGAAAACCCTTCTCCAGTGAAGCTTGGCCAGGCTCAGATACTCTCCCTGGAAGGCAAACTCTGCGACGTGGTCGCAGCATCACATACGGGCCTTTTCAGTCTGCCTCGAAAGTCGCCATTTTGAAAAAAAATTGTGAAAAACATGGGGCCCCTAGAAGAACGTAAGTGGGTACAGAAAATTTAATTTTCTACTGGAGATGTCTGTCTCTGTTTTTGTTTGTGTAGAATTACTTGTGTTGTGATTTTATAATATTTTGAAGGGATCTTCTCGAACTAAAACGACTCCATCCACATGCGCGGTTTATATCTGGTAATTCGGAATTGGCAATCGAACTGAAATTCCGGTTCATCGATTTGAAACTCGTTATTAATCCTCGTCAGGTATGGTTTGATTCCCCGAAGCATGAATAAGAAAAAGCGTCTTCCTCGAACTCTAATGAGGAACTTTTGTTTGTGTAGATTTATTTGTGTTGTGATGTTGCTTCTGGGGTCCTAGTGGGCTTTGCAAATGCTGCCTCAAAGCGACGGGGATCAAATCCTGAACAGTTTCATCCAACGTGTGTAATCAAGAATCCCTTTTCGGAACACAACAGCTCCGTCAAGCATTCTGAAGCCAACTGAATGCCATCACATTCCATATCCCAGAGATGGGGGAGGTGGGGATGGAAGTGCGTGTCTGCGTAATTTCATTTGTTTGAACGTGGGGGGAGATTTCCTGAAATTATTATCTACGCGGTAAATGTTTTAGTGAGGGTACACAACAAGTCTTCCCTTCGCCTCCCTCCTTCCCCCTTCCCATCTGCGGCCTATCGAGTGACTATTATACTATCATCGCCGCGCCGCGGCTAGGCGACGGAGGGTGGAATGGCGCACGTTGGCCTGACCTCGTTTTTACCTTGTGGCCAATCTAGGTTAAAAATATTGCAGGAAGCGCCACAGATAGGCAGGTTTGACGCCTCCTGAAACCGCTCCGCAGCGCTGCGACGATAGATTCGCTCTGGAATGAGCGCACCGAGGCACTGTATTCCGTTCCCTTCCCTTTGACCTTTTGAAACTCATAGAAGGAACATCGTTTCAGGTGCCTGATTTACATGAAGTACGATTGGACAGCAATGGTCTATATATGGGCACAGGCTTGAGCCTTACAGAATCGATAGTTTACCTCGTCAAGACATGGACATGCTTTCGCGGTGACGAGTTTCTTCTGAAGCTTTATTCGGACATTGAATCCTAATTTACCACAGAGGAACGGTTTTTGTTTTCCCCTGTAGACAAACTTAAGAAAAAATCACCTTCAGGTCGATCGTATTCCATCGTCAGGTGAAATTGGAACCCAACTGCAGTATCGTGTTCACATCCCCGCTGAGCAGTTGGCGGGAACGGGGCCGTAGGGTAGCGAAACCCAGATGGCGTTTCCCGACTCAGCTATCCTCAATGTGCAGCACTTCCGTCGATACCAAGGTCCTGCAGCCCGCTACTGTAGCCGTAGACCAATTGGCAAGGATCAGGGTCCATTAATGTGAGAGGAAAACTTGCCCTTAAATACCCACATTGCTACTGCCTACAAATGCCCACGAAGAATCTTCTTTTAGTATTGTAAGCGGTAATGATGCTGCGTTCCGCTTGATCTAGTTACTCTATTTTTCAGAAGAACGGTGCGGAGTATTCAGAGCAGTTCATGAGATTATGCATTGGTTTGCTGGAAAGCACGTGAGAAATGTAGCGGTCAGTAACCAGAAATTTCACTTTTTCTCGGAAGTCTCACCATTAGCAGTTATTGGCTGAAATGTTTTTCTAAGGAGAGACTGAATTTTTTGAAATTTTCCTACTTGAACGTTTTCCAGTCAGTGGCCGGCAATATCGTTAACCGCCTCTCCCATTTCTGACCTGAATCCTATATGGATGGCGGCTGGTGCCAAGGTATTTATCGTTTCTCATGCTTCTTTATAACTGCCTTTAAAATGTAATGCAAAGTTTAGATGTACTCCTAAGTTCTATGCTATTGGTGAATATCACTATTCAGTTCTAACTAGCACATCCATCAAATTTTTGTTTAGGTCGTTCTGGAGTCCATAGAGCGTGGAATGCGTTGTCCTGTCATCGATGAACATTTCTTCTTATCTTACAGAAGGGTCGCAGTGGAAGCCGATGAAGTGGTGAAAGCCGTCATCATACCTTTCACCGAGAAGGTTTGTAGCTGTTCAATAAAATTGTCTCCTCAGCGACTATCCTACAGGACACGCGCGCTTGACGTGTACATGATACTCTTT